GTTGAATAAAAAAATAAAAATAATAATTCAATAATTGTAAAACCAATAAAGGAGGTCCGCTCTTACACAAGTACATCGGGTTTTGGGACAATCGTCTAATATCACGAAAATAAAAATAAATAATATGTAAAACCATACATTTTTATTAGTATGTTATAATCATAGATAATAATATACAATATATATTATCTATGATTATAACATTTTTTAACGTATTAAAAATTATAATGTATTGATTATTTGGAGTTTGGGCTCACAAATCACGATTGAAACTTTATGACCCACTTTCAAATCGATTGACACTCTCAAGTGTTTCGCATACATAGTTATCTTAAAACATGACACATGTGATCACTTAACAACTATCTATATTAATAGAAGTTAAATAAAACTAATGTATGTAGGTAAATTGATTTCCTTCTTTATAAGAAAATATACACACACATTATAATATATTATATTATATTACGGCATGAGCACCTATTTTAAATTCCTAGAAAAATGATGAATGCACACTATAATAGGTGTACTATTATAGTTTTACAAGGACGTATTTTTTTTCCTGCGGAATGTTTTGCTAATAACGTTAAAAAAAATTTAGCTGAACAGGTAATATGTAATATGTGTATGTGATATATGAAAATTACTCTGTCGTAATTCTAAGCAGATATTTAAAACATAATAATATGTTAACAAACAGTATAACTATGTCTATATATTTTTTATTATATTAAACAGAGCTTAGCGTTGAATTATTTATCGAACAAGAAGATTTATCTATATATTCAAAATATGTAAAATAGTCAATACACAGAGATAATTAATTATTATTTATTACCAGGGTTGTGCCTTGTCTGGCTTTTTATAATTCCTATTGAATTTTAAAAAAATCCGGGGAATATATTCACTCTGTTATAATAATATAGTAAGTGTCAAGTGTACCTCGTCATTGAACGACAATTGAACTCAATGACGAGATACACTCGAAACCTACTGTAGCCTGTAGGTACACCAGAGTGACTTAGCTGGATTTTTTTATTCTTATATAGTAGTATTATAGTACCTATAATATTTAGGAACATTAAAGAAACTTCAAACCAATCTATAAAGTGAAAAAAAAATTCTAACATCGTTTTAATTTAAAGTTATTCAATTTGTTTTGTAATTCATACCATATTGTATTCATAAAACAGGGGACGTAAGGTGCTCCTGAGAGTGTCGTTATGGCTGGCTACCTAACCAAAAATATCAAAATTTAGCGAATTTTCGTTAAATTTTAAATGTCTATAACGTACCCAGGTAAATTAATAATATTTCTTCCTACGTTCCGAAGGGTATAAAACCCCTTATGTAGGTACCCTTTTTAGTTTTAAATGCAAACATTGCTTACTAGAGTATCACTTAATTTTTTTTTAGTCATTTTAGACTGGTTTATCGTAAAGATGATCCCAGGGATTTTTTTTAAAATAGTTATCAGTTTTTTCATTAATTTATAATATATGACATATACATAATATAATATATTATGTTATGCAGAAATCTGACTGACAGACTGTAATTTTATGTTTGTTGGTCGACTATCAACACCACTATAATAATAATAATAATATATTAATAAAACAACAAGTGTTATTACTATATAGCTTATTATTCTGTATAGTTTATTATGGCTACACGTTCGACTAATTATTATACTCTTCATCAAACAAATTTTCATCGGGCGTGTTTGAGTTAGAAAAAAACCGTGTCAAACCGCATTTGCAAAACTACACTACGATACACCACAATCGTATTAATAATATTGGCCTTATTACTGTAACAATGTTAATTTTCGCTCAATCTGTCACCCTTTCGACGTCACCTACTCACCTGCCATCATTACAATACTGTACCTATATAATAGTATGTATGGCTACGATTTGTCACAGTAGGCATGGTACGTTCCTATGTGTATGTCTAATTGGCACCGCACAGTGCGTACCTTTAGGTATTACAACTAACCACACTCGGAAAATATTGCACTACAACGGTTACGTGTGTTTTCCATTATTATTATTATCAGGTACCACCGTAGTGCGGGGCCGGTATACTCGCGTGTTTACACATTCGCCGTAGAGAGGTAGTATTATTATATATAGGTACGCGTTGTTATTTTCGAGCTTTTGACATTATAATAAGATTATAATATATTCCTATCTATAAAAATGTAAATGTTTTGTTGTACGATGATATTATATAATTGATAACAACATTCTCGGTTTAATTTTGACGAGGATCACGGTAAAGTTTTTACGATTATGACTGCGAAATCGTATAGATACACCGCCGGTACAGTGAAATAAAAAAGGTCGTCTGGCTCATCCGATGTGATTATTATAATATTATTCTGACATGTCCTTCACAGTAGCACACACACGATGAGTCGTACGTTACATAAAATCGTCATTTCCTAGGAGCCTCTCTCTGCACGGTGGCACCGCATGCGCTACCAAGCCGCCGCTTTTCATAATATATATTATTATCGACCTCGTTGTCCTATTGTTTCATTTTTTTTTTCACTCGGCAGAACAAATCGGACGAAGTTACGAGAGAGTAAACAAACAAAACAACACAGTTTAACGATAATAATGTGTATTATAATATTATTATTGTGCTATTATTCTATGACGTCACCACGCGTAACGCGTCAGTCTCAGTACAGATCATTCCGTGACCGTTTTTCTGGGGGCATCCGACGTCAGCATTCAATGAATCGTGAGAAACCCTGACAAAGTACCTAAATAGTTATATTGTATATTATAGATGTATAAAAAATATCCTACACCATAGCAGGTTGTTGTAGTCCTGCCGTGGTCGCGACCGACAAGAATACCGTTTGGGAACTGTTTTACTCGCACATCTTCGACTGTTTATTCGACAAAGACACGGCGCCAATAAAGCTATAAACTACAATAGAGTATATTATATTATTATAATACAGACATAATCTGTATACCTATTGTATGTAAGCGATCTTAAGCAAACACTATTATATTATGACCGTTGTTAAAGTCGCGGTGGCATATCATATTATTATTGTATGTGTATTTGGTTTTCGGCATACAATAAATTAATAATCTAAAATCCGCGGCAAATCGGCGCGTGTACGTTTATTATTTTACACCGTCGTAAAACTTGTCTTGCAGGGTGTACCCGGCCGGGGTATTCGATTGCGAATAAGTGCGGGGATTAATTATTTATTACGTTTACGATGTTAATAATTATTATACCAATTTAATAATATGATATTGCAAATCTATTTTTGAACGACCATCACTTTGACAAGCGTCATTTACGGCCTCACTGATCCGTTGCGAATTAAACCAATATAATATAATGCATTTATTGCATTCAATAAAAAAATCACCATGTGACACGACACCGATAGGCAATATAATAGCGCGAGCACGCGCGCCACGCACATATTTTATGCCAACAACACAATAATAGTATCAGTGATCCTTAATTATATAGTTAATAGTTAATACACGACGTATCAATTACATTATTGGTATATTATACATTTAGTGAAAACTGTTGTTTAAGTATTTTACTCTGCGAATATTGTAATAAAAAGATGAAACATTGAAGAGTACACGACACAATAATCGCTGCAACTCACGAACATTTATTGGAAACGACTAAAATGATTATAATCAGCTTTAAGCACATATTTTACTAATTACTGTTATACCTACAACTTACTGTAATTGAAGATACCTAAGATGTTTTTAGTCACGTAATTCCAATAACCGTTGTTTACATGCATTGAAAGTTGCACCATCCATTTTTTTAACAATAAAATTGATTTTCCGAAAATAATGGAAAGTGCAGTAATATACTTTAAGATTAATTTACAAAAAAAAAAAAAAAAAATGTACCTACGTAATTGTTAACTATATATTTTTATAATTTGTTTTAACCATTAATTAAACCGAAAAAAATGAGAGTTAGACAAATAAATGAATCACAAGATCCCCGTGGTTAAGGAATTGTTTTGTGAAGGCGTTTGATTAAAAAAGATCAAAAACAAAAGCAAAGTCAACTGTCGAAACAACCTGTCTTACAATATAAATATCCTTGTGGATTTGAGGTTAAATGAGAGAATGTCTTTTGTTATATGCTTTGTTAAAGTCATTCCGCTATAGGCATAGTATATTCATAGTGACTTAGATTAGTATTATTCTTTCTTTTCTTTTTTTTTTTTGTTTCATTTGATCTGTCACCGCACACTATAGGTACCTACGACGCAAACTCTACTTGCGAAATATAACTAAGCTACTTGTCCTGCAGGTATCAAAGATATAAAGTTGTAGGATGTTATACTTGGAAATAAGTTTTTAATTTAAAGAATAGATTTGAAACAAATGCCAGAATGCAGTCCTTCCTTATTTCTCTCTATTAATATTTCAAAACTAATAATTAATTTTAGTTTCCATCTTTCCGAGTATTTACTTGACGTAGGTAATTGTATTTATATATAAAGAAAATGATAAATATAAACAGTAAATAACTGAAAATACGTATATAAAATTAAAAATCATAAAGCCAAGGAAGAGAAAATTCTAAAATTCCGGAATCACTGGCTGAATCAGGCTACCAGGACTTTGACTCTATCATCTCTTCCACAATCAAATTCATTGTTGATATCAACCTATCTACTCAACCGTCTCAGCCTATTTAATATTTCTTGGTTGTTGAACATACACTAGGTATAATATACGTATATTCGCATTTGCTAACAGTTATGCAATATTACAATTTGTAATGATGTAAAATGTAAATCCATCCCACAGGCCACTCAGCCGAGGGTTAAATTAAAAATAAATCATTTTAAATCAAGAATAAAATGTGTCAAAACTATTTGGCAAACCGAAACGATTTCATAAACTACTGACATATGTATTTGTGATCATATACTTTAGAGAAATAAAATTATAGAGTCTGTGTGCACTACTTACCGCTGCTAGGTGGGCGGCAGCAATGGTCAGACCTATGGAAATGGACGGCGTAACTATGTTGCTTCGGTTGGCTTCATCACAGACCGAGTGAATAACCAACACTAGAATAAAGGTAATGAATGCTTCTACGACGAATCCTTGTCCCGGTTGAAGCAGTGTGTTTATGTCTGTCTTTCCTAAACCTTTAGTTACTGCGTCTGGAGTAACAAACTAAATAAAATTAAAATTAAATATATTTAATCACCAAATCTGAAATCGTATAATAATTAATTATATTTTTTAAGTTAGAGTGATTATGACATATTATTGCAGTAATGTTGAGAAAAATCCATGTAATTTTCAATAATGGATTTGCTTATACAAGTGTTTGTTTTAATTCTTCTGAATAAAAACTGTTTACAATATTATATTAATATATAAATTTAAATTTAAAACGAATCCTTTCAAATCATGATCAAATTGCATTTTATATAATATTATATGCAAGCTAAAGTCAAGAACATTTCTCATGAAATATCAGATTAAAATATGTAATGCAGCAATAGCCAATAATTCAGAATTGTAATGTGCCCAGTGGTTTTTTTTTGTTGATGTATAAATTCAATATAAGTAAAATTTAAATTAACAGCACAATAATTATCATAATCAAATAGGTTCGAATCATTGAAATGTCATATAATGCAACACTATTACAGACACTGATTTGTATGGAAATATGGTATAAGATATTATCTTTTCTTGAAGTTATAAATACCTACGTTTTTTTTTAACAAACAGAAAAATATTTTTCTTTGATTCAATGATATACATGCATATGAGTATTATAAAATATTTATAATAATATCAGTTAATTATTTATAATTTATATCTTAATTACATTGTGGGAAAAGTTATAATATAATGTAACTTTAATTTAATGGTGACATAGATCAGTTGATAAACAACTAGAAATACATTTGTATTTATATTATAAAATAAACACATAATATGACGTGTGTGTATATTATGTTCCCTGTGTTCTTTACTTAATTAAAGCATAATTTTTTAAGGTTAAAATGCAATAGTTTTTACACATTGAAGGTTAACATTGAAGTATGCAAAATTTCTGTGGTGGAAAATTAACAACTGTTTAAAAAAAAAACAAAAAACAGTGGAACGGAGTTTAAAAAATAATATCGTATTATATTCAGGCACTCACGGCCATATTTACAATTTTGACACCCCGCGGCACTTATAAAACGCTGCCACATTTTTAGGGGTTTGATATATTTTACTTTACTTAAACCAAGACAAACTTTTTTTGTATATTTTGCTACTAGACATTTTTTTATAAAAGATCAAATATTAGCATAAAAATTAATAATTAGTGAAGGTTTAATTATTTATGTTAACTCTTGGAAAATTGGCCTTCCTAGAACACTTTATCGGAATGCTTGGACGCTATATCCAATCACGATATAATCACGACCAAAGCAAGACCTATAGGTTGGTGTCCACTGTCCAGTATTAAACAAATACAAATTAATAATTATAAAAGTACAAATCCTTGAATATCGTATAAATTGTATCTATATAATTAGGACAGGTATTTATGAGGTTTGGCATCTTTTTTAATGTTTAGTGAAAATAATACCTTTTTTTTTTTACGGAAAAAACCATTACATGTAGGACATACTAACTGTAGTCGCATGCTTAGCCCCCATGTAGCAGATTGCTTAGCCCCCATGTAGCACATTGCTTAGCCCCCATGTAGGAAGTGAAAATAATACCTAGTTGATATCAAAATGTGTTTAATGACCTAAACAATTCTGATAATTTTATTTTGCATATTTTTGCATTTTTAGAATTGTTTGAATATACAGTTGTACTAAAGTGCTCTTTTTTTTAGAACTTGACAAATTATGAAATACAAAATAAATAATAATTGGTCATGATTTTATAAATATGTGCCTTGTACGCGTGTAGCTGGTAGGTTATACAGGGAGGTAGACACATTTGGAAGATAATTTCAAAAGATTTATGAAATTGTTTCATTAAAGCACAAGCAAAGGGTCTTATTGATTTGTTTGAAAACAAAATTAAGGAGCTAATGAGTACTTTTGGCTTTGAAGTTTGAGGTAGGTACACAAAAAAATTAAACATGATGTTGCTTAAGGAAAATAATATTTTTCATATTATGACGAAAATTTCAAAAATATTAGTGTTTACGATTTGTTCAGGGCTTATTTTGGACATTTTGGTACTTTGGCCAAACTGTATCTGCATGCACAATAAAAAAAAAATATGGGTTAATAGGGCTAGTCTCTATCCTAATGACTAACAATAATAATATAATGGTGCCATTCATACATGTGTTTACTTTCACACCACTTACAATAACAATGGTAAATGAACTTAATTTTTAAATTTCCAACTACGAATGGAAAATGCAATATATACAAAATATGTACATTACAAAAATTATATATTATATTAAAACAAAACACTCATACAAATTCACCACCCCTTAAGTTCTGCCTAGTATCAGGCAAATGCCCACCCCACTTTACACTGTCCAATCACTCACCCAATCATAATAACATTGAAAATTATTTCACGAAATTTCTAATTAATAAACAACATAATATAATATGTTTGACATACCATGTATGTCTATGTATGTGTATTTTGTAGGTATATATACAAATATTAAAAGGTATCTATAAATTATGGTTTATATTATACTTATTATATAATATACAACTAATATTATCAAAACAGCAGAGTTCACTCACTTCTAGAAGGTAGATACCGGCTATAGCCCCCAAACACTGTGCAACTATGTACAGAGCAGATTTCAAAAATGAGCATTGGCCGCTCACCAAAAAGCTAACCGTGACTGCTGGGTTGATATGACATCCACTGGTCTGACCGAATATCTAAAATAGAATTTTCAGTAAAAAACAACTTCTCATGAATAAAACAAAAATAATATATTTATATAATAGATAGGTGGTAAACGCATGTTTTTAATAAACTTAAATAAAATATAATACAATTGTTAACTAACTCTGTATGATAATTTCCAATAAACTTATTTTTACATACACTGTTAATCGTTTTCTATATAACGTTTGCAAAAAACAACAAAATACATTAATACTTTCATAGATATGAATTACAATATTACAAATTATATTGCCAAGTATAATTGCGGAAGAATGAAGACGTATGAATGCATGGTTTTTAATTTTAATAGATAAACATAATACTATAACCCAACACAATATTATAATGTTATACTCATATTATATTATGCGTATTATATTCCTCATCATTTTCCTTTAAATTTTCTTTACACAATAATAAAATAAAAGTGTATAAGGACCTATATAGGTATTAAGGTACTTATAGGTATATGATAACATATAGGTAGTATAATATCATAATAATAAGAAAAAAAATATTAAATTTTTTTATTCGATTTGTTTTGTTCTTGTGTCCTTCAAATATTATGTTTCACTTTATAAGAAGTGCTTACATTTAAATGTGTTTATCCTTAATATCCGTAACCATAGGATATAGTTGGTCTATACAATTTTGAGGCAATAATAAATGTACCTTATAATATTAGATCAAACATTTATAAATCAATCATCTAGCATTACAAATACAATTTATGTAGGTAATTTTTTATGTTTAAACTAGTTAACTTATAAAGAATTCAATACGCATAAAATAAATAAATTGATTTATTTGTATGTAAGCGTAAAAATATAATTTCTGAATATAATTTTTTAGTCAAGGTGCTTTATATATACAACCAATAGGTTGATTTTACAACAGTTAATTTGTCTACACTAAATACTACTGTATTATTAAGGATGAGTAAGTGTGCAATGATTATCCGTTTCCTAGGGTATTATGTAGGTACCAATAAAGTATAAACTGGCGATGGCGCTTGATAGCACTGCTTTATCCCCCTCGGCCACACAATTTCCGTTATTTTTTCACTATAATGTATAGAATAGACCAAATATTTATAGAAAAATAAAAAAAAATAATGAAAAATAATGAAAAATAATGTAGATATGAATTAATTGTAGGCTAGGTACCTCTAATAAATACAACAATTGCAATTGTAAATCAATACACAATATTACAGTGTTTTAAGTTATTATGTGATTATTAAACGTATATATATATATAGAGAGACTATAGAAACTACGAAAACCTAATCACCTAAATAATCTGGTTTTTCATACATTTATTTATGATCTTGAATAAGTATTTACTATCTCAAAGACAATCAGTTTGTCATCAACAAAAACTTAGAGTTGTATTCGATTATATACTTCGATAGGTATGTTAAAATGTATTAAGAAAAATGTTTTGGTCCCCCAAAGTTTTACACTTGTATTTGCACGTGTGTAAATATTTCTGTATAGGCGCCTACGTTCATTGTTTGCACGATCTAATTTGTATGTAACGTTGAACTGTAATAATTGAACTAGGTACCATGTAATATTACTGTTTTCGTGATCGATTTTAATTTTAATTATCATATTTATCGTATTTACCTGTACTAGTGTTGCTATTGTGAAACCAAAAGTCAGAGAGATTGCTAGGATATCTGATGAATTAGTTGAACCGTTAAGCCACATTATGCTGCCACAACCAAGAAACAATAGAATAGCTGTGCCCAAAAATTCGGCAAACAGCATTCTCCATATTTTGTTACTGTCGGATACGTCGTCCATTGCTATCATACCATGTACAACTAAAACAAAATTAAACATACAGTTTCTTAGAAAATAAATAGGTAGGCTATATAATTATTAATATTATTTTTTCATTTTTATAACGTTGCCGTTGGTTTATATAATATAATAAATATAATATTAAAGTAGCTACCCAAAAGAAAAATAATATGACAGTTTAAAAATAATTGTAATTATATGGCTAAAAACTAGCTCCTTGAAGAAAAATGTGTTTAATAAAAAGTGTAGGGTGTACTATATAGAATAACAAGTTAGTAGTTACCTGTCGTAGTGAAAAAAGCAAATTGAATATCAAATATCAATTCAATAATTAAAACAGAAAATGTAATTAGACAGTGATACCAACATGATACATACAAAAAGAAACAAATAGGTAATTATATTAATTTTCATTTAAGTACACAAATCATAATATACTGATTCAATAACTAACCATTCGACCTGACCTAACGTCTTAACCTATTGAGTTTTTGTTTGAACCAGTTCACAAAACTTATGCATATATAAATGGTATTAGTAACTAGCCTAATATTAGAAAAAAATGAACGGCGCGATGCAATTTAAAAAAAAATGGGATCAAACTAAATTAATAGTTATTTTACTTGTGATATTACCCACGTGTACATTGAGTAAACTATGTTTAATTTAAAGATAAATAAAATATACGATGTACAAACCTTGTATTAAATAAGAATTTAATATGTTTTAACGATTTTCGTAATGAGATATACAATTAGTTTTATTATTTTAGATTTTTATTATAATTTATTGTAATACATAAAAACACAGGTGTTTAACGTGCAATAATTTATTCAAGTTATGATTTTTAAACTAAATTATGTAATTTCTATAATGATTAGTTTTACCACTGCAAGTTAGAGTCGAAACTGTCAATTAATATAAACTTTTCAATAATTGTCAATAAGAAAACTCTATTAACCACACCACAATAATAACTAACGATGGATATTAAAAGGTCAAATTATTTATAGTTCCAATTATGGTATAATCTAATTTGTATAAATTTATTTTTACAGCTTTTAAGTGCTTCGTGTATAATTAAACATTACCACTCAATTTTAATAAAAGATAACAAACAATAGTAAGGAGTTTAATCCTTTGTAATACATTGATTACCTCTAATTAAATTAATAAATGATAACTTCAATACGACAATAAAAGAATATCAATCAATCTGTAAATTGTCGGGGTGAGTGAAAAATTATCTAACAAGTAACAACAATTAAAACCAAACAAATATATTTTCTCAATCTCAAAACAATAGCCTAACTCACTCAACAACGAGCAAACTAATACAATTTGTTTCAACTGCAATACAATTACAATCACCATCATACTCCACACATTTCGGAAGCATCTACTACCTTCTACCTACCTACTCACTTAAACAAGGGCAAGCCCGAATTTCAATAAATTTGGGAGAAACCCTCAGGGTAGGTTACCTATAATAGTTACAATCTTATAAATTCCCACAATATTCAAATATGTACTCAAATGTAAGCAACACAAATACACAATATTATATTATTAGAATTTATAATTGACAATTATATAATATATTTAATATAATAGGTACTTAGATAAATTGGTATATTATATGTTCATAAAATAACAACCTAACAGTAAAATGTCAGAGCCTTTATTTTTTAAATAAAACGTTTTAAATTTGAAATAAAATTTACATAGGTATGCTGAATGGTTTAAGTTCTTACGAGAAAAAAATTTTAAACATCCCAAATGCACAGTTTTTTTTGTCTATTTTACAGGAACTTGCTAAAATTCTGATATCTTTCTCCATTAAACATTTTGAAAGAGATCCAAGTTAATTCATAAATGCGTAGAAGTTAAGACACTTGGGTATTCAAAGAAAATTATTATACAAAAGAAACGTTAAATTTAAACGGCTTACACTAATTGGCCATCCTTCCACTATATACCTATCATCAAAAAATGCTTTACAATAGTCATTTACAATACTGCTTTAGCATACCAGGTTTAGACTTTAGACTATCAATGTAGGAATAACATAATATTATATTCTTATCAAAATTACACTTAAACACTTGTGAAAATGAAAATAAATACGAATACTTCACGAGGAATAAAAAAAAAAATAATTAAGATCGATGAAAGTCTAACATTAACCATTCAAACGGTATAATATCTACACAATATCAACTAAAATAACACCGAAATTCAAAGTTAAATAATTTAGGAAAAAATCAAACGTACTAAGGTAATATAGACTAAAGTAGAAAGATTTTACAAAAATGTTTGAAAAAATTTTTCAAATTAAATTTGAGATATAATAACTTTTATTTTCATGCTATTTTTTAATAAGGGAGTTATAAATTCATATTCTACTTAGTGTTAAAAAAATTGATAAAAAAAAAAAATAATAATAATTCCATTTCAATTTTAGTAAGTAGGTTAAGTTAGTAACGTATACCAACTAAAGTATAGTTATACGAGTAGTACCTGGAACATAGCTCTTTAACAAAGTACGAACCATAAATAAATTATTCTTTACATTTGTTATAATTATACTTAATACTTGTCTTATATTATCATAATGGAATCCATACACACTGTAATTCAATTTAATTTTAAGTAGGTACCTACCTACTTTGTTATAATTTTTTAAATGATTTTGAATACACGCAATTATTAAATTTATAAATATCTGTTTTATGATTCCAGACTCCAGTTTGCAAAATTTAACTATATACTTAAATGTTATAGGGCACAGCGGGTAGTCGTATTTATTTATTTATTAGTTGTTAAAGACTAACAATGAAAATTAAATTATAACAAAATAGTTTATCCACTTGTTTCATATATGAATATCAATATAACTATAGACAAATGTTAGTGAAGTGAAATACTTAAAATTTAAATATTATAAAGTTTTTATAATTTGTATAGGTATCTAAATTAAAGAAACTACAATTTCTAATTTGAAAAAAATGATTATGTATGTACAGCCATATTATTATGGATATAGCCATATTATATTGATATTAAGTATATCCACAAGACACACAAAGGTATTTTGAATTTTTGAATCATTACAATTAATGTATCATTATTATTGCATAATCAGTTTCATTTTAACTGTATTTTTGGTCCCTAACTTAACTCATTACTAAAATTAACAATTACTTAAAAAACAAAATATATATTTTGATGGAAATTTCCTGTTTTTTAAATATTTTATAGGTTTTATATGTTTATAGCATATTGAATTCAAGTTTGATGTAGGTAAAACTGTTGAAGGTATAATATGAACATATTATTACAATAATACCTATATTATAATTGGTAAGGTATTAGGTACTTATTGAACAGTTTCATAAATTAGATATGAGGTAGGTACCTATAATACATAGCTACGAAAAAAAAATTATATTTTATTTGTTTTCGATTAAATGGGTTCCGTAGTCGTTGAAAACAAACCATTTTAACTTATTGTTGTACACACTTGCCAGAACGTATTATTTTGTATCATTGAATTATACCTACATATTGCGTCGTATAAAAATGTATAGATACCAGGTGTGAAAAAACAAATGTAAGATCATTCGGGTACACATTAATACAATAAACGCATAGGTATTAAAAAAACTACTATAAATTTATAGTACATACTTTTATATTGTGTCTAAAATATTTTTGTTTTATGAACTTCAAAATTATTTAGGGACTAGTTCAGGGAAATATTAAATAATTAATATAGTTAAATGATTAATTTGGTAAATACAAAAAGATTCACTTTTTAAGTGACCTGCAAGTGGATACTTGCGGTGATGATTGTCTTACTACAATAAAGTGGTTGTTATTTATAATATTATGTTAAAAGAAATAATGATGAATTATGAATAATTGAATTCCAACAGTATCATCAAAAAATCTACATGGATTACCATATTATTATGATAAAAATGTAGTTAAAATACGTTTAATTATTTCTTCTCATTATTGTTTTTCATGATTTTCATAAAATTGATTGTAAATTCTGGATCTTTGAATATATTATATTCATTAATATTTTAATTTTTCAAAATTATAAACTACCTACCTACACTTTTTAGTTTTTATAAACGACATAATTTTATAAAAAATAATAATTCTCCCAGTATAATATTTTGGTAATTCCAGATGGCAGGTTTGTATTACCTATATATTTTCTTTTTAATATTATTATTATGTGTGTGATTTTTATATATATAGATTTTAAATTATAGTGAATATATTATACGACTCAGCTGTCTAATAAATATACAATAAATAGTATATGAAGACATGATAATAAAAAGGGGTTATACGAAAGCTATGTTTAGATTGAAAACTTTTAAACGTTAGATATGTTTTTGTTGGCTAGTTTATATTTAGCATGGAGTGATAATCACGGAGGTATACTATGTATGACGTGTTAAATGAAATCATGAAATCTCAAATCACTTCAAGCGACATTAGTAAGCATAATAATATATTGTAGATGAGTAGTCGCGTAGATAGAACGGTTTTGACAACTTAAATTTCTTGAATATTTAAAACAAATAACAAGACATCTGTGTTGATAGTTCCCATCGAAATAGTTTCGAAACAACACTAGAATACAAGGCAGGTTCCTAGTCTTGAATTTAAATAAAATATGTACATATCTATAATATGCAAAAATAGTGAATTTATAAATTATTATATGATCCTATAGCTATCGTTTGGATTAATCAATAAATATTGTTTACGAGCACAAACAAAATAATAAAAAGATTAATGTCTTTATTTGATTGTATTCAACCATAGAAATAAGAATAGGTATATGAAAGAACATAGGTACTAAAATATATTAATCAGTTGTCTACCTAATATGAATAAGAAACTCAAACCTCTTAAAAATCTGTTTATTATGTTTTAAAAAAATGTATATTTTTTTTTTTAATAAAATTTTATTATTGCCTACTTTACAGAATACCTAAATAAAATCAACTCGGCAATCAATAAAATTAATGTAGGTAGTAAATTTAATATACATATTTCATACATTTTGTTTATAATATTTTTAAAGTACTTTAATGTTTTTTATCTTTTCTTAGAACGGAATTGTAACATTCCGTTGCGGCGTTACATTATCGTTTGTTAAAACTTCCGTTGGTTATTCGCACAATTAGTATACACTAATTAATTTACTTTATACAATACATTGTTCCAAAAAGTATAATTAATTCTTCGGATAAGGTGAAAATAAAATGTAATCGCGGTTAACATACAGTTATACGCTTAAATATAAATAGATATGGCTGACCATAATACTATAACCTATTATACGAGTAAAATTAGGTCAAAAATATGCCTATTTTTTTTTATAGTACCTCCCTATATACTAGGTACCTAACATACATGCATTTAAGAGACCTATAGTACCTACTACAACGCGTATGCGTAATTTGGTTTGTTTTGTTTTTTAATGATAAATAATTATTCGGGAGACGGAAAAATACAAAACAGATGTATTTAATTGTTTACAATCGTTGATTGTGTGCTTTCAACGAGCGAAATGAATTTTAGTTTCTACAACTTTTTTGAAGGTTGAAATATTCATTCAACGTGAACAATAAAAGGTCCGTTAATTTGCAGTCGCCGAGAAACATAAGAATAGTCTTAATAGACAAGCATAAAAGTGTCTAAGAAACAGTACATTTAGGTGCCTAATATTTTGTAAAAAATAGTTGTCCACAAAACAATATTTTCATTATAAATAGTAAGTAGGTAACCTAAACTCATACCATGGTGGCAACAAATTATAGGCATTTGGTACATCTAATTACCAAAATAAAATTATTTCAAGCCTTGCAGTAGACTGTTTAGAAAATAATATATATTTAATATTTATAGAAATTCAATATTATAAGACAGTTTCCTATTATGATACTGTAACCGTAGACACGTAGGTAATAATTAATAGATCGATATCTCATTCAGTTATCAAATAAAAATAAATTAGAACATGAACTGTTTTTATGGAATTTTTGCAGTAAACATAATCTGCTGTACAAAGGTAAATATATTGTGTACCTATCTAATTGAGCACACAATTTAAATTAACTTCAAACATAATTTAGATTTACAAATATTAATATATTAATATAAGTTCAACAATATACCTATACCTTGAGCAATAATTATTTTGTGTTAATATATTATAATTCAATGATTTAATTTTTGTATAAATTATTAGTAATTTATTCAAACATAATATGAGAATATTAACATAATATTTAAAATAAAATTGTAAACAAATGATTCTTTAAAAAATAAATGTTCAATCTACCTCAGTCTGTTAGACAAAATAGTTAACATACTACACAAATTTGATATAATTTATTTTTGTTTTATTAAATAAAAACTTGCGGTCGCAAAGGCCACTGAGATTCAAAGTTGTATACAGATGTCTAAATTTTAATATCGGTATAGATATTTACATTGTTGGATTATAGTTTACAAAATTAAGAAAAGGTACGTGGGTACTATTACATATTGCAGTAAATGTTTATTTTGAAGGAAATTTAATATCAATACATTATTTAAAATCACATTTAATCCATGTTTATTATATTTAATTTGTAATTGCTAAATTTTAGTTATCTTTGTTGTCTTTCAATAGTTATTAATTATTATAAACAATAAAATATATAAATGTATAGGTATAGGTATGTTTAGTTTGCAAAAGCTAGTATTGTTTATTTGTTTTTAATTTATATTAAAATCATGAAGGTTAATACTAATCAAATGTCTTCATGATTAAACATACCAAAAAAAAAAAAAAAAATAGGTCTGTTTTAAAAAATTTGGTGAACAAGAAATATTTTATAATTAAGAATTATTAGATACGTTTTTTTTATGTAAAATATTTTTTACCCAAAAGTGGCATAATAACAGTAATTTATTTGAAAAAGTTCAAAATGTATTTTTATTTAACGTTATGAAGATTAATAATAAATTATAATATTAACAATTATAATTATAATTAAAATCATTAATCTAAATCAGAAAATGTAATTAAATAGTGTAATCGTGGATTAGGTATATGCAAGCATAAATGTATCCGTTTTTCACAACAATAAGTTGTATTTAAAATAGTTATTTTAATTTTTATAAGAACATTTTTTTTATAATTTTATTTTTTTTATAACAAACAGCATTTTCAATCAAACTTGATACTTAAAAATATTGAATCACAAAAAATGTAAATGAATAAAATATAAATAGGAATTATAAAAATGAAATGTTTAGCTTACCTTTTGATCTAGGCATGATTGAGATTGTTTTGTCTGTAAGTTAATGATACGTTGAAATTTAACTACGGCACGGCGTGTGTTTCACTATTGCTGGACTAAAACGCGCGCACTGAATTACTATAAAATATGTTTATGCTTCAGCAGCGCCAGCAACAGGTGTCACATCACTATATTACTTAAAAATAGGCGGGATAACCCTATGATGTATCCCCTCCACGATACTTAATTCATTACCATATTTGATTAAGGAAATCCCTATCCCCTATGAAGTTTGGATTTTAGTTGGGCCATACCATAATATGATTAATACTAGGTACTAAGAATAATTGTTATCAATTTGTGTATGAGGTCAATCATTATTGGTATAATATAATATAATTATATTATGTCATGATACATTTTGGCAGATAATTATTAATTTCACCTTATCTATAATTATGCATGCTTACTCATCTCTTTGATTGTTATTGTAGTACGTACAGTTTATCACACAGTATGTAATTATCGATGTGTATATTATTATAATATTATAATAGAGTAGCCTGAGTAGCTATAGAAATACTATCAGTGTTTATGTATTTCTACTAACGACTGTTTCCTTATAAATTTAACAAATCGTTGTAACCAAATATAGTAGGTATTAGTAGCTTCTTAAATTTACCTAATACAACAATTCATTTTTTTGTGATTTCAACTGTAGAAATAAAGATATTGATAGTACAATTTATATTATGATGATTGATGATTAATTAAAAAAGTACAATATCTACAACATATAAATATAATTAAGGTTTATAATAATCAAAAATTATAAAAACATAATTATATAAAAAAAATGAATAATTTTTGATGTAGGTAATACACAGAAAGAAGAAATAAAAATAAGGCGTATTTTCAAAATAAATAACTATATTATAATATACAGAGTGAATAGTGATTCACCAAGGACGCACACCCCTATTTTTTCCTTTAATAATGAATGTATTCAAATTACGATTTCTGGAATATTTAAGTATATACGGAAGCGGGAAGACGGTCTATATTTTAAAAAACTTAGGTTTTTATTTATACCATTTAATAATGAATGTAGATAAAAACTTCGTTTTTCAAATGAAAATCAATATTGTTTTCTGTAAATGTTGGTATAATATATTAATACAAATGTGAACGAGTAGTTCCCGTTTTATTAATATATAGGTATATACTAAGAATTAAAGTATTTAATACAAAGCCCTTAAAAAAGCATTTCCAAAAAATGTAACAGGTATTTATTAATTATTATACTCTGATAAGTTTTACTAATTTTAAAATGTTAATATTGTAGATATTACAGATTAATTTCATTATGTTAGTGAATTATGCAACTAATTCATATAAATAACTTCAAACAAAAGTTTTTTTTAAATATGTTCTTTAAATAGGTACACTTAAATAGTATACACATAGGTTAGGTTAAGAATTCCAAAAATTGGTATTTTAATAAATTCATTGTTAAAGAAAAATGAAGGTGAGCATGTTAGTCACCCTGTATAAGAGAAAATATTTTAATACTATCAATAAATAAATTTATGAACTATAACTATAAAGTATTCAACTGTCCAGCAAAACAATTTATTTTCATATGCGTCATATTTAATATTTTAATTATATAGGTATCAATTGTGTGGAACGTTATTTAAGCTAAACAAATAAATAATATTGTGATGAATATGTCTCGTTGATGACATTTGATAGTAATTATAATTAATTAGATCAAAATCCAAATGTATCTTTTATATAACTCACAATAAAAAAATGTTATTGTATTTTATTGATTATGATACAATAGCCAAATAGGTCAGTCATTATCAAGGCTTTTATTATTGTTCATTTTCATAATTATTTGAAACGCAATGTAATCAACTAAAAATAAAAACAATACAAAGTCCTGAAACATCATGCATTTAATTTTAAATATTATAAATGTATTATTAAAATTCATAAATGTACAAAAAAAATGTTTGCTTTTTATATTAAACACTTTAATTATTGAATATAATTGAGTTAACATAAATATTTTAGTATGTTCAACAAATACATAGTCAAAATATATTGCACAAAAATAAAATCTACAAAAAATATCGAATTAATATTAATCAAAAGCGATTGATAAAGCAAGTTTCAAGTAGTTTGTTTAGTTCAATTGAATATACAGTAATAATTGTTATACTTATAACTTTATACGATACTTGAACATTTATATACGTATATTATGTACTGATTTATTTTTAACGTTTTATGTACTTCCCTATTATTACTTCTAACTTCATAAAATATTATTTTCAGGAAAACGTTACACCAACACGTTGTTATTTCTATCTCTTAGCACGGGTGTTGACCATAGAAAAATAGAGTTCATACAAATCTTTCATAAACTAATGAAGTAATGAATATTTAAAAACAATTTATATTGTGATAAATTTAATATAATACAAAATGGATACCTATATACTAAAAGAAAATATGGTTTTGTTTTATGGTAATAAAGAGTATTCAATTTTTTTTTCCTAATTTCTTCATGAACTTATTTTTTTTGTTAATATTCCACTTATAGAGATGTCGAACCTTGGTTTGGTTTATTTTTAAATTATTATATCAATAAATGAATCCAACGCCACGGTCGTGGAGCGAGCTAAGTAAAAAAAAAAAATAAATAACTGCATGACGGTGTGTGTATATTATATCGAAGCAGGAGTTGCCTATTTAAAATGTGTAAAATACAGGTAAATTTGTTATACGACATAACTAATTTTCTAATGCATCAATCAACCCATAAGAAATACCAAAACATCAGAAATATTGTGTAAAACTTGCTTTTGTAAAAATCATCAAAATCGCGTCTTTAAAAATTAAGTTATGAATGAAAGAGTTGGAACTTTTTAATGGAAATTTATATTAAATTCAGAATCACGGTAGGCGTCGTCGTCGTCGCATTAGCGTCGCCAATGTTACCCACAATATTACCGTTCTTATGGATTATTGTGTAAATACTCAATATATTTTAATAACGATAAAAATTAGTGATATCGCAACAAAAACCCTTCGTAAACTACGTGTAAAAATGGCTAAGTAAAAAAAATAATCTTTAAGCACTATAAAGATGTGATATCATGAATATATGCCAAGTATATTGAATTTAAGTAAACTTATTTTGTTTCAATAATTTATTTACTTGGCGAGGAATTATTTAGAATAGTATATAAATATTAATAATAATAAGTTATATTTTAATAGTCCTTCGCAGTTTAATTATTTTGTTCATCACACTTTGTATCTTTTAAGAAATAATTCCTCGCCAAGTAAATAAATGATTGAAACAAAATAAGTTTACTTAGATTCAATATACTTAGCATTTATTCACATCTTTATAGTGCTTAAAGATCTTATATTTTTTTACTTAGCCATATTTACACGTAGTTTACGAAGGATTTTTGTTGTGAATATATTATTATATGTTAATGGCAGGGATATTTCCATGTTATTTAGAGAGATGTTGAGTTAATATGTGTTATGTGTATTGTTATGTTACTGTCGATTTTTCCTAAGCTATTAAGCTACTGCTGTACATTACATTTATTAATTTTATGTATCTTTTATACATTTTATAAAATACAATATCGATTATAATATTAGGTATTACAACTGTTTGTTCCATTTGTATACATCATTGCACTAATAAAATAATATTATAATTGTTTTAAAACGATGTATTTTTTATGATTTACCTAGGAATGTATTTTAATTATTTACAAAAACATTTGAAGACATTTCATTTCCCATAAACTACCAAGTACCCACCAATCTACAAATGTGTTTTGTATGATTCTACTTTTCCACTGCATGATTTATTGATAGGTACCTAGTGTTTCTGTACGACACCAAAACCACACAAGCTCCTGCATAATTTCACAAAGGTCGTGACAAGTAAATAGATAAATAATTTATTGCAGATGGCATAGCATTGATCTAAATAACTTACTGTTGGAATGCACTGCATTTGACTGGTAGACCAATAATAATTTACTGTATTATCCAATATACCAACAACACGAGTACAATCATTTCTATTCCTCGATAAAAGTTTCCGGGACTCAATAATATGTTCGAAATGGATTAAGGGTGACAGCCGTCAGACATGTATATATAGAGTAGAGACACGTAGAAATATTTTTTATGTTTGTAATGTTAAAGTAAATTGTAATTGTTTTATTATAAAACCTTTAAAATAATTACGCTATGCTTGCAGATTATTCGTTTATTGTTTTCATAATTATTTATATTGTTACTATTACGAAGTAGCCAGTAGGTATACTTAAGAGGACGCTACACCCGCATGTGTTGTCTCCGTCTTACACACGTACGACATAGACAAAACGCGTTTAGGCAGTCTGAGTATAACTCGCTCAATTTTGGTTCTAGAGTAAAAATACCTATTATGAAATTGAATTGTGATAATATTTCTAGGGGCAAGACGCTGCGGTTTTTTTAAAAAATTTAATTTCTTAAAATTCAAAGGTATTTTAAAAATGGTGAAATTTTTTCTATTTATAAACGATATAATGAACGTTATATTGGGTATAATGGAAAAACCGCAGCGTCTTGCCCTTAGAAATATTATCATAATTCAATTTCATAATAGGCATTTTTACTCTAGAACCAAAATGGAGCGAGTTATACTCAGACTGCCTAAACGCGTTTTGTCTATGTCGTACGTGTGTAAGACGGAGACAACACATGCGGGTGTAGCGTCCTCTTAATGTTTTTACAAGGTAATTTATCTATGTAGTTTTAGATACTATTGTAATAGCAGGATATAGTTGTATTTTCTTGTTGTAAATAGATAGATCTTAGTTTTACAGTTTCATTAAGAAATAATTATTTTTAACTGATTATATTACATTTATGTTCATTTAAATATAATAATAAATTATTGAAATAAAAGTAGTAAGTTTTAAATTATAATAATATCAATTAAAA